CTACTATCGGACGCTCGAGAGGGATGCGTGAAAGTCCATCTGCCACAGCATTTTTTAGTACCAGATACTCTCTCAACCGTGTAATCGTATAGCCGAATCCGTATTAACCATCGGGCGATGGTCGGGTCYGTCAGACTAAAGTCCTTCTGGAGGGCAGAAGCAACCGCGGTGGGGTCTACTCTCAAGATAAACCGTCGCCCATAGATATAGTGTCTGAACTTGTCTAGACAACGGAGAACAGCTAACACTTCCTTCTTGAATTGACTGTAGTTATGCTCAGCCGTATTAAGTGTCCTACTCTCAAGTCTTAACGGTCTTTCCTTCCCTTCATCGTTCTTCTGAGACAGCAAACCACCCACTGAACATGGTTCAGCATCCGTGGATACTATGAAGGGTCTCTCGGTCTCATGGTCAAAGAATGGCACGCCGAACACGCGTCCTCCCTCCTTAAATTCGTCTTTAAGTTCTTGCATAGCGAGTTCCTGTGAAGAGCCCCAGCAGAACTTTTCAGTCTTTCGAAGGAGTAACCTCAATGGCTCAGCCTTCTCCGCATACCCCCGTATGAATATACGTCAGTAACCGACCACTCCTAGAAACTGCCGGACCTCGGTAGGGCTATGCAACGGTGACGGCCAGTTCAGAAGTTTGTCTAACTTCGCCGGATCTGCTCGACGCCCTCTTGAGTCACAGATAAAACCCAAGATCTTAATAGCCGAGACGGCCCATCGGCTCTTGGTTCCGCTGATTGTCAAATTCGCATCGTCCAGCTGCTCGAGTACTGCGCAAATATCTGTTAGGTGCTGCTCGACGAATCTTCTAACTCCAGGTACAACCTCTGTCTCATCCCTGTCTACTGACCCTTTTATAGGAAAGTCATCCAGAAAAACTTCAACCTTATCAGGGATGAAGTCCTTGAGGACGGCTACCATGGCTCTCTGAAAAAAGGCTACGCCATTAGTCCACCCCATAGGGACAACCATCATCTGTATTAGTCCCTAGGGTCAAGCGGTACCTCATCATAGCCTGAGAACAGATCACAGACCGAATAGATCGACCTACCTGTTGCCCCTTCTGCCAGTAAATCGGCGTGTGGCACGGAGCCCACGTCTTGTATCGTCACCGCGTTGACCTTCTGAAGGTCCTGGATCCATCGAATCTTGCCATTCGGCTTTCGTAGGAAGAACCATCGATTAGCATAAGCGCTATCAG